TCTCCGATTCAATTTTTTATAATTAATTTCTCCCTATAATGAACAAAAGCAGAAAAATGCATATAATGGACAGAGGGCTCGGTATAGAGAGAGAGCTTTGTATTATTAAAAAATTTTGCCAGATCATCACCAATTTTGCCGCCTGTCATAATAATAATAATAATAATAATAATAATAACAATAATAATAATAATAATAATAATAATAACGGATTTTTTTGTCTGGAACCATGAATCCGCTGTGGCGAGGTTTGACTGTAATCATCTAGGATCTATTAAATGTATAATAATAAAATTCAACAGGCGCGTGATTATTTTGTAAGTAATGAACGATCGAATTTACCAGTTAAAAAATTACACGTGACTAAATTAATCGGTTAACCGGTTAACTCTTAATTTTAACGGTTAATTAACCGGTTTAAGAATTTTTGCGCGGTGCCAACCTCTAATTAGAATTACGGTTTAATATTAAATCAAGCTTAGCACTAAAACTAACAATAATTTTACAAATTGTTTTGATCGTGACAAAGCACCTTTTATTTTCAAAATTGATTTGCGAATTATTTTTTCAATGATAACAAAACTACAAACAAGTTTGGATTTTTATATACTAATAAAAATTTATGAATAAAAATTATACAGGTCCTTTTTCAGCAAAACTCAATAAATTTTTTAAATATATCAAAGATTATCATTAAAATAATTAATGTAAATTAATGCTGGTTTCCAAAATTCGAGAGTTTCGCAGTCAAAAAGTTTCGTCATAAGTCGAAACTGGTTTTGATTTTTGACTATTGACTTTTGATTTAGTTTTGACATATAATTTTTAATTTTAGTTTTGACTTTCGCCTCTTTAAAATAGTTTTGGCAACCAACACTAATGTAAAATGATTAAAACAATTTTATTTTTAAAATAAAATAAATTTTTACTTTCTCACCAATTAATTGTCTAAAGAAGATAATAATAAAAAGACTATGTTCTATTTTATATAGCCTTTTTTATGAATCACATACTTTTATATGAATTCACTGGTATAAGAACATATCGTTATATGGACATTTTTTGCTGATGTTCTTATAATGTGAGTGACCTGTATTAATTTTCAATTG